AGGAAGGATAGGAAGGTGAAAGGGACATTTGGCAGAGGAACAGGAGGTAAGTAAGGCCAACCCAAGAGAACAGATTTCTGAGAGAGCCACAGGATGCCAGGAGCCTGAGTGAGCTCACAGTGCTGGGCAAGGCTCCACTTTGCTTTTTTTCAGGTTATTTTAGAGGAAGCAGCTGTGAACTTAATAAATCAGGAATTGGGGTACCCAAGCTTTCCCAGGACCTCTCCACTAGGAGAGAGCCCAGCATGGAAACCTATGGAGCCCAGCATGGAAACTGTTATGGCTGCAGCTGAATGTCAAAGGAGAAAAGGGACATGAAAGGACTTGGAAAACCATAAGACAGATGATAAATAGAAGGCATTGTTATTCACTGAGCTCCTCAGACAAATAAGATGAAGATTACAGAAGAGAAGGATTTACAAAATATGGAAGATACATATATTCCACATTAAGGTGACCCTAAATCGGAATTGTGGTTTGATAAAGGTCCTATTTGCCATGTTTATTTCCTTGTCAAATGCGTTTCAAAACCTCTGCCCTGAGGCAGAATACAGAACTCTTAATAAACTATCACACAGATTTATTAAAAATTATGTCCGCATCTAATGTATTTCTCCAAGGTTTTACTACATTACAGATCTTAACTAATTAGGTTAATTCTTTCAATTTGATCACTATTTGAGTGACTTCCAAGTGCAAGGTAGTGTGCTCTGCCAGCCGCCATGGGGGCTGTTTGAGATGAGAAGATAGCTCCGCCTTCCAGGAGCTTGGCCAAGGAGGCGCCTCAGTTCAAATCACATTCAGATTGGGGAAGCTCAGCGTTCTTTCCAAAGTCTAGGGACAGAGCAACCTATAATCTAGGAAGCACACTTTTCCAGCTACTATTTAACAGGAGAGTAAGGGATTATTTTAATGCCCAGTGACTGCAGACACTGTTGTATGTTCATCTCCATGTTTATACTAGCCTGGTTTACCTCCAAGCACTCCTGTCAAAATTGCATAACCATAGCATGTCATGTTGTTTCTTGTTGCAACTGTAACTTGTAAACTTAAACTTCAGAGCTGAGATAGTCAAGCTAAATAATTGCCTACTTTAAAAATACATATATGTATAATTTATCCACCACTGCACATTAGTGCTTGAATTATGATCTGTAAAAGTCAAAACTGATACCATTTTTAAAAATACAGTTTCATTATTGCAATTCTTTCTGCACATAAGACCTATGCCTGGCTTTTGGTTTTTTTGTTTGTTTGTTTGTTTTGGTTTTCTAAGCACTCTTTTACACTATTTATTGCAATGTGCTTTTTACATTGTATCAAGAGTCTATCTAAATACAATTTACTTGCCCCATGCTATGGCATGAAGCTCTGAGAAGGACCATGAATAGTTTCAAATGTGCATAGTTCCATAAAAATATTTCTACTGGGCCAGAGAGATGGCTCAGCAGGTAAAGGTGCCAGTCAGCAAGCCTGACAACCTGAGTTCAATCACGGGGACCACATGGTAGAGGGAGAGAACTGACTCCTGTAAGCTGTCCTCTGACCCCTGCACACATGTACACACATGCCCATACGGGCACACACACAATAACTAAATAAAATGTAATTTAAAAGTTACTACAAATATGTCTATATGCTAAAGCAGAAAAAAAATATATCAGAGAAACATCTGAACGCTCAGCATGTACACTGTGTGCGGTCTTCATACCTGTGTCCTCTCCTGTAATGCTACACTTGACTTGGGAGGGAGGTTACACTGTAATCATTTCCCAAATAGTATATTTGAAGAGGTGTACATTTTCATGAAACTAAGTCTAGTCTTCTCATTATCTGAGTAAATGCTAGTTTACTGGATGTCCGGGTTACTTTACATAGAGTGTTCCTGAAAAGTTGGGGGAAAGTCAACTTTTATGTATAAATTATTTCACATAAACTTGCATTGTAAGACCAGATCTGCCAAGCTTCGCCTCTGACAATCAGCAGAGTATGTTCAGAAGGCTGACTGAAGTTCCCCAGTTCACCCATATGCACAGCCTCAACCTCACAACTCTGATGAGTTTAAATTCCAAACCACCCAAGAGAAGGTCTAGAATTCAACAGTTTAAACCACAGAAAACAAGGGGTACCCACAGCAAGAGGGAAAAGGCACCCACGACACACAAAACAATGCCACACCTCCTTTATATTAGGTTCTAACAAGCTGAAGGAAAACAAAGCTTTGTATTATAGACAATGAAGTTTGAACAATTTCTGTTACCATGCATTCTCTTTCCACAATGTCCCACCAGAATTACTGCCATACTCTCTCCTTTAAACTATCTTTAAAGTAAAGCTAAAAAAGAACACTGAAGGACACAAAAGCCACATGACCTGTGTTTTAAACGTGCCTGCCACATATGTGTTTCATATGGCTACAAGTTACACTGATAGGTTCAGATGAAGCCTGTGGTGATTGGGACACTTAAGACTCTGGGTGATGTCTCCTACATCTCCTGACTTAAGGGAGGCACAGGGACATTCACTGTCCTAGCATTTGACATCTTCTCTGATGAAGAATATTTAGTAGAAATGGCCAAGAGCTTGGAAAACTCCATTTATATATGGCATGCAAAGGTAGCTTGCTCCCAAATTCAACACTATGCTGAAAAGCCTGCAGCCTGAACATGATACAATAGTATGTGCCATCTTCCTCCTTGATAGCGTTTTCCATTCAGTCACAATGGATAGTACCAATGAATGGGCAAGTTATTCATTCATACCTTGTGATTCTTCAAGAGGTTCAAATCATCTTTATACATGTGTGCATGCGCACATGGAGGCTGGAAGACAACCTCAGATATCCTCAGTAACATTGCCCACCTCTTTTGGACAGAATCTCATCAAACCACTTTATGCAGTCGTCTGTGAGCTCCCAGAAGTCCATATGAAATGATAAAGGGAAGTGGGGTGGGAAGGAAAGAAAATAATCAGTTTTCTCAACTCTGAATGAAATGTTTCCCCCCTGAAGAAGTAACTAGACTACTTCCTTCTAGGATGAACTTTTCACACTGGAAGACATGGATCCTCTCTACCACCCAAAAGGTTGGGGAGAATATGGTATGTGTCCCAAATGAGATAAAAGTAGAATACAGAGGCACCCCGGTTTTAGAGGCACTGGCCCATCCCAGGACCCAGAGCACTTGCCTTTGCTGCTTTCCACACAGCCCAATCGGGCAGGTCTCTGAACCCAGTCTGCACAGCAGGAAACATTAGGGGAGATTACATTTCAATGATCTCTGAAGTGCTGGTTCCAGTTTTAATGACTATCAATACACAGGGCTGTTCTGTCCCACAGCCACTTCCTACCTTGTAAGTAGGAAACAAAAGAGGTGATGGAGTTGAGATTAATTTCCAAGTCCTATCAATTTGATTTCCAAACAGCCAACGTATCACAGGTTGAGCTGATCATACGTCCCAACCTCAGAGGTATGAAAAAGGGGAGAAAACCCCCACATCAACATCTTGGCCTTGAAAAACCCTTTAGAAGTATCTTCTTCTTCCACTGAACCTGAACAGTCCAGGCCACTGTTTGTTTCATCCTGGTACATCCCAATTCTGCCAAACTCAAAGGTTATTCTCATTAGTGAGCCCATCCTCTGGAACTAGAAGGTGTTCATTCCACCCGTCTGTGTAATGAGCTTGTCATTTCCCCTCACATCTAAAGCAAAAAAAAAATGTACACACAGAATCCATGGAGAGCCAGCCCCCTCCCAGTGTGTGAGTCAGAGTTAAGAGTCTTCACTAAGGCTCTGGTTGATCAGGGTGTATCACTTTCAGAGTTGCTCCAATAACTGAACTTATGGCTGTCTTCCAGCCGCGCAGAACATAAGCTCTATTTTAAAACACTTTTCCTAACCCACATGCAATGAAGGTATCTCATAGGTTAACTTCCTATTGAAACAAATCACTTCCCTCTCAAACTGTGCTTGCCTTGTCTGAAGATTAATGCGTGTTCGAGTGTGTATTATTTTTATCTTTGACCACGCAACTCTTGAAGCAAAAAAGGCACCCCCCCCAAATTTACCAACATGCCCGAACCATTCAGAGCCTTCATAAGAGGAATGAATAGGTAATGAAAGTCCTTAGGCCCAGGGACTTCTCCCACATAAACAGCGGGGTGGGGGTGGGGGATAGGGAGGGTGAAATGAACCCCTCTCTAGTAGGAGGGGGCAGGGTAGATGATAGGGAAGGACATTAGCCAACCCAGCACAGGCAGCCGCCGCGGCACTTCTCAACTGCCTGCAGAAGAAAGAGAAATCTGCTCCCGTAACATAACCAAGCACCCGAGGGCTGCCTCGCATGGGCACGAATAATAAATACACCGAGGAAGGCAAACAGATGTACAAAAAAACAAGCCACCCCGAAAAGGTCAAAACTTCAGAAATCTCAGGGATCACACCACCCACACAAACACATCCATCAGTGGGAGCGGGAGAAGAGACTTGGAGACTTAGCAAAAGATTCTACATTTTAGGGATTTTTCTTCTTCCCAGTCCCGGCTTGCGAAGTAACAGTGGCCACAGGCGAAGCTAGAAGAGCAGGAAGGCTGAGGGCGGCGCGGGGTGCGGGTGGGAAGGGAGGGGTGTCTCACACCAACCACCCAGGCCTCAATGTGACGAAAGTCGTCAGCAACCCTAACCGCATCCCAGCTCCTCCGCCCCGCAAGCAGACGCCCCTCTGCAGCTCCCCAGCCCAGCTTCCGTCCCTTGCAGCGGGCGGCTCCAGCAGCAGCAGCAGCAGCAGCAGCAGCAGCAGCAGCAGCAGCAGCCCTGATAGCAGCCCCAGCAGCAGCAGCCCAGCAAACAGCAGCAGCAACAGCGGGGCCCGCACAGCTCCTGGAGCGCCACGATCGCGGCTCCCATCCCTTTGGTTCCCATCTCTCCCGCGGCAGACACCCCGCAGGCCTCCCCAGTCGCCCACCCCTGATGCCCGGAGCGCTGGCGGTGGCTCCCGCTTACCTTGGGCGCTCGCGGGGGGGGGCTGAAGGTGGCAAGCCTCCCGCCCCCCGCCCCTGGCCTCCTCGCTGGGTCTCCCTACTCCTCCTCTTCCTTCTCCTCCCCACAGTGTGGCCGGGGCTCCCTCTCCTCCCCGCGGCTTGGAGTACAAGCAGAGAACCCCGGAGCCCGGGCCGCGTGCGTGCGTGCGGGAGGCGGCGGCGCGCGGCCAGCTCTCCAGCCACTGAGCGAGGTGCGCGGCTCGCAACTAAAGTGTGAAAGAAGCGGCGGCCGCGGCCGCGCCACGGAACGTCCCCCCGGGAGTGGGCAGGGAGCGAGCGGGAGCTGGCGGACTGAGAGCCGGAGAGGGAGGGGACCTCTCGCTCAATCACTCACTCGAGGGGCGGGGGCAGCCAGACACTCCCCCTCCGCCGTCCTCTCCCCGCCCGGCTCCCGCGCCGGTCCTGCTCTCCTCCCCCCGGGCGGGGCCTGAGCAGGCCTCTGGGCGCGGTGGTCGGGAAGAAGGGCCGGGCTGGGAAGGCTGGCCGGGAGTGTGAATGAGTGTGTGTGTGTGTGTGTGTGTTCCGCAAGGTTGGAGGGAGGGCTGTATGTGTGTCTGCCTAAATGTGTGCTGTGAGGGAGGAGGGCGAGGTGTGTGTGCTTGTGTGTGTGTGTGTGTGTGTGTGTGTGTGCACACGCTTGCTGCAGGGAAGGCGAGCTGTGTGTGTGAATGCGTGTGTGTGTGCTGCAGGGAGGACGCAGTGTGTATGTGTGTGTGTGTGTGTGTGCGCGCGCGCGTGTTGCCTGAAGGGCGGACTCTGTGCGTGTGCGTGTTGCATGAAGGGCAGACTCTGTGTACGTGTGTGTGTGTTGCATGAAGGGCGGACTCTGTGTGTGTGTGTGTGTGTGTGTGTGTGTGAGAGAGAGAGAGAGAGAGAGAGAGAGAGAGAGAGAGAGAGAGAGAGAGAGATTTCGCTTGCACGCCTGTTGGCGGACCAACAGGAGCCGAGATCCCGCCCGAAAGGTTGTGTCCTGTGTCCTGCCTGGTCTTCCTGGGGCCTGTCACTCGGTTGGCGTGGGAGCCTAGGAGCGCAGTACCGGAGCAGTGCGGGAGGGGAGATGTCTCTCCTGGAGGTAGAGATCTGGGCCCCGCAGAATGGAGAAAGCTGTCTGGCCTCTCCCTACCCCTCCCAGGCCAGGACCTGCGGGCTGGCTCAACCCAGTCCCTGAGCCCCTCCACCGAAAGGCCTCCGCCCTGCCTGGGAGCCAAGGGCCTGCAAGATGAATGAGGGAAGCTTCCGCGACTCAGAGGACGCCAAGCGGGCTGGGAGAAAAGATGCGGTCGCCTGGTGCTGCTTTCCCCACCCTCCCGGGCCTCCTAGAAACAGAGGGGCGAGGCTGGGGAATGTCTGCTGCATCTAGAAAGATCCACCCGCGCTTCAGCCAGTCAGTTTTTTGTGGACTCTCACAGGTTAACCAATTTCCTCCCCTCGGAAGGGAAGGGATTTTCTCTCCTCGTCCCGGGCATATTGGGTGTTTCTTGTGCACACTGAATTGATCTTTCTACAATGATAGTCTTTGCATGTCTTTTGTGCGGCTTTCCCGCGCTTCGCTGCGCCTTCATTGCCTTAGACACTCGAGGAATGTCAGGCCCCCAGAGCTAGGACACCCAAGAAAACAAAGGGGGCAAAAGATCCTCCCTGGTCCTCGCGGGTCACACACAACCGATTTCCCACATTTGGCCAAGATGAAGTTGGAAAAAGACAGCGCTGGGACAGTGATAGGACATTTAATTGAGAAGCAAAGCTACAAATTCGGATTAATGAAATGAGCTAATATACACCTATTTGTATCTGCAAAATCTGCCTTTTTAAACGTTCTTATTTTTTTCTCCATCTCTGTTTCAACTTCAAAAGTTACATTGTGCATGAAACTCGGCTTGGGTTGCATTTTTTAAAGTACGGGTAGTTCCTTGCAAACTGAATTTGTATTCTTGCCACTTGAAGGGGAGTGGTTAGGGAAGAAGAGTAAACCAATTGACTGCCCCCACCCCCCTATCAGTGCTTGTATGATTTCTGTCAGCCTTTCTTCACCTACAACATGGATTTGATTCTAATAATTTCTGCTTCATACTCTTGCTGTGAAAGCAAGAGGAAAACAAACCTGGGTGGTGAGTCAAGTAAGACACTGGATTATTAAAAATAATAAAAAAAATTTAAAGGGGGAGGGCTGGAGAGATGGCTCAGCAGTTAAGAGCACTGACTGCTCTTGCAGAGGACCAGGGTTCAATTCCTAGCACTCAAATGGCAGTAACAACAGTTGGTAACTTCGGTTCCAGGGAATCAGTTCCAGCCTTCTTCTGACATGAGTGTTGCATAACACAGGTGCACCTACATACATGCAGGCAATATACTCATACACATAACATTAAAATAATAAATAAAATATTTTTAAAGATGCTGCATTGTGCCTGACATAAAAACAGAATTCATAGAAGTGGTTATTGCCAATATATTTCAACTCCAAATTTATCATGATTTTTTTTCTCTTTATGTTCCTCCTGAAATGGTGGGGGAAGATTGCTGCTGATTTTATTTAAATGTACTCGATCGTTCACTGGGGCAGGGGTGTTTAGGCCATGCACAAAAGCTCTTGTGATAAAATGAAATAAATCTGTAACCAGGATACACATGTGTATGTGCATGTCAACATTTACATAAAAGGAACTTTGAGGACCATATGCTCTGCTCTTCACTCCTGTCTCCTTCCCTCACCTGCAAAAATCAACCTAAATGGACCCAGTTCTCTCTACTGTTGACCTGTCTCTTCCTTAGGTCTCCAGCAGGATTGGTACTGGAGATTTCCTGAGGTATAGGCTCTACAGTTCCCCTGTAACTTGACATCCTCAGAAGTGACAGAATTCTACAGAGTAAGACTTCCTAGATGTACAGATGAAAGTCCACCCATTCTGTGAGCTTTTGCAACTAGTCTTTATATTTATTTATTTTATATGTATGAATGTTTTGCCTGCATGTGCGTTAAGTGCACCCATGTGGTGCAATATCCACTGAGTCCAAAACAGGGCATTGGATCCCCTGGAATTGGAATTATAGGTGGTTGTTAGCCACCATGTGAGTGCTGAGAACCAAATCCAGGTTCTCTGTAAGAGCAGCCAGTGCTCTTAACTGCTGAGCCATCTCGCCAGCCTCTAAAGCTAGTCTTTAAGTTATTCAAGATATTACATGTTCCTTGTGATTTTGTTGTTGCTGCTGTTGTTTGGTTTTGGATTTTTGAGACAAGATTTCATGTAGTCCAGGTTGGCCTTGAACTCCTCATCTCCTGCATCCTCTTCCCCAGTGCTGGGATCACAGGCATGTGCCACCACACCAAGCTGTGAAAAATTTGTAACTGTTAAAAACACAGCTAAATATGAAGAAAATTGGAACTATCATAATCCAACCCATCCAGAGAGATGCACTTGGTAAGTGCTTCACCCATAACCACTGTCCTTCAATTTATTTCACTCTCATTCAGTCAGCAAACATTTATTGAGCACTTAGTTAGGGACCATTGTAATATAGTTATTTGTTTGTCAGAGAAGCTATTCATTAGAAGCCCATGAAAGGAATCTCAGAATTAAATGTCCATACTGACCACAGGCAATCCAGTTTCATAGAGTATGAAGCATTTACAATTTGGATCCACTTTCCAGATTTTCTTTTTTTTTTGAAGTATTGAGGCTGGAGAGATGGCTCAGTAGTTAAGAGAACTAACTGTTCTTGTAGAAGACCTGGGTTCGAATCTCAGGATCCACATGGTGGCTAACAACCGTCTGTAACTCCAGTTCCAGGGGATCCCATGCCCTCTTCTGTCCTCCATGGACATTGACCTTGACATCGGTACACTTACACATGTGAAAATTGCTTGGAAGGGTTCATGTGCATAAGGTTCATACACAAGTCTCATGACCATTTTTAGTAAAGTCACTTGTTGATTGTGGAATTCTTGTAGAAATTAACCGCTTTCATAAACGTTACTTCAATGTAAAAACTCATTGCACATGGGATGCCTGAACACCTCTTCTCCCTTCATTCATAAATTTGGAAGAGATTACAATGGAGACTGCCATCACACCCACTTTATCACATGAAGTTGTGGAAAAGCAAGAGCAAAGAGCAGACAGGATTACTACCAGGGATGTGCCCCTAACCCACACAGCAGGAATGACAGCAAAACTGCTAGTTCAGGGACAGGAGAGATGATGGCTCAGCAGTTAAGAGCCCTTGTTACTCTTGCAGAGGACCTGGATTCAGTTCTCAGCACCCACTCAGCAGTGGCTCACAACTCTTTGGAACTCCAATTCCAGGGGATCTGTCACCCTCTTCTGGCTTCCTTGGGCACCAAGTGTGTACATCGTATACATACATAAAGTACTCATACAAGGAAAATACTCATACACATTAAAAAAAAACCAATCTGTTTTAACCCTAATGAGAGGTGACTGGATGACTGGATGACTAGATATAGAGGAAGTCTTCAAGGTGGTATCATGCTCATGATGAGATCAGTGCCTTGATAAAAACAACCAGACAGTCTGCTGTCTCCTGCCTCCATAGAATACAGGAGAGGGCAGCCTTCTAAGCCTGGGGGTGGGTCTTTACTGAAGTCCTGACCACCCTGAGCCAACTATGGCAAACAGATTCTCTTTCCCTTTGATTATAAAAAAGAAAGCAAGGGAAATACAAGCTAGCTGAAGAAAAGATAGTAAAAGCAATACCATGCTCTCCTAAAGCTTCTCATGAAAACCTCAATGAACTGATTTTTTTTATGTTATTTATTTTCAAAAGGGTTTCCAACACAGCTATTTTTTCTGAATAACCAGTTTAAAGGTAGCTTTGCAGGGTAGTTCAAATCCAAGTTATCCTCAGATACCCTGAAGTTTGCTCTGTTCATTTTTAAAAACAAAATTTATTTTTATGTATATTTTTATTGGGTTTTTGTGCATTTCATGTAATAGATCTTAATCAAATTTAGATCCCTCCCCCATCTGTATCCCCCATTTATTTATTATTTTTATTTTATGTGTATGAGTATATTGCCTGTATGTATGTAAGTGAATCTGTGTTGGGCAATGCCCACAGAGGTCAGAAGAGAACATCAGATGCTTCTGGAACTAGAGTTGGATGATTGTTAGCTGCCATGTGGGTACTAGGAATTGAACCCAGGTCCTCTGCAAGAGCAGTCAGTGCTCTTAACTCCTGCGTCACCTCTCCAGCCCTCTGTTCTGTTCATTTTTGTTCTATGCAGTAGCAGTGAACCTTGAGTGTGTGCTGTGTGTCAAGCATGGATTGCATCATTCATTATGACTATGAACTCACTTCATCTT